AAATAATATTAAAAGACTTGTAACTTGCATTTTGCAAGTAAATGGATTATCTGAAAGAACATAACCTGACGTTTGATATTTGTATCCATAAAAAGGACTTGATTTAGATAACTATGTAATTTAAATTCAATCTTCAAATTGTCATCGCTAACATTAATATATTTCCGTATACATTTAATTTAAAGTCAATATCCACTTTTATATTACTTATTCACCTGTGAATTTAAACTTTGTAAATTTATGTAGGTATTTTAATAGCCATTTGCACCGTAGTACTAAATATTAGGAATTCATCAAAAAATTTTTGGTATCCAACGAAAATTTACAAGTGTTACTCATTCAATGTGCATTTAAACTAAATTTGGTGTAAGTGAGTTAGGAATTTTAAATAATCCTTATAATATTGATGGTAACTATTTCTTTGCTCAAACATTTTTCGAGAAAAAAGCTCGAAATTTGAATACAACACGAGTTTAGTAGCCTTTGGTTTAACTTATGTTTTGGATACACGAATAATCCAACTACCTGTTTTTCTGAAAAAAGAAGGTAAACACCCATCTTCTTGGTATTTTCACCTTTCGACCGGACTGCTGGCAAAAACCACAGAAGCGCATTTTGTATAAACCGATTCGACCGCAAAGCAATTGCAAATGCGTACGCACATCGGTGCAGAAATGTGGGTGGGCGGTGGGTGGTTTCCGGAGGGGCGTGGCTGTGGGTAAGAGGTGCAAAGGGGAGAAGCAGTTGGCAGCGCACACAGTTAGGCGCCTGACTGAGCATAAACGTCAGTGTCAGGTGTTGCTGCTGTTGCTGTTGCTCTGTTCCTGTTTCGCTTCCTGTTCCCATTTCTCTTTCTCTTTCTGCTGCTGCTGCGAGTCGCCATTTTGGCCAAGCGGCGGCAGCCGGAAATGCGGTTACATAATCTCCATATCCGACGGGGCAATGCACACACAAGAGCGGTGGGGCATGTCAGAAACTGTAGCATACTTTTTGGCACATTATTAATTTTTAGTTTTTGCTACCCAGCCAGGATTTTCGTTGGTCCTGCTGCAAAAATACTATATATACTATAAATTCATTTTCGGTTTCTGCTTCTACCCGCTGTCCGGTGCATATTTGATGAATATTTAAAATATCAGCAGTAAATTGAATTGGTTTCGCTGAATACCTGCCTCAAAAATACAAATAAACAGTGTGCACGTAGGTAATATTCTTTAACATATTTTGTGTTTCTTTGAATGAACTATTGTACTATTTCAAGTTCAGGCCCTAATTTAATAACAGATTTTTGTAAAAAAGTTAAGAGTATACGAGTTTAAGTTTTTAAAATTTCTTTTGAAAAAAAATAAGTACCTCCATTCTAATTTAATTTTTTTAAATACGAAGTTAAACTTTTGAAAACCTTGTTTAGAACAACTAAATATTTCTCATCATCTTCCAGCCGGCTTCCTTTCTGAACATCCGTTTGCAGAACCGCAATGAAAATTTCCGGAAGTTGTGCATAAAATGGGCTATGCATACGGAAATCATCAACTCGATGGCTGAACAAACAAAACGAATGAAAGAGTGAAACAGTGAAAGAGAGGGGTGTTGGCAGAGCAATAGAGACGGATAATGGTTTTCTCTTTGGGAGTAAGCGAAGTAGAGTAACAATGGCCAGATGCGAATGACGTCAAACCCAAAACGAATGACCAAAAACAATGCAAAACGGCAGCCAACGTCCGGTAGAAAAGGACTTTAGAGTGAGCAAAAGAGACAGATAGAATTTCAGTGAAAGAGACGGGAATAAAGAGTCCGCCACAAACGATGATGATGATGATGATAATAATGATGACGATGTGGGTTCTAGTGGCGACCTTCAGCGTTGGCCTGTGTTATGAATAGTCTGCAAGTGAGCTGGATTGAAAAAGAGAAACAAAAAGAGACGGGGCTATGGGAAGCGAAAGAGACGGGGAGGGGTCTGCTCAGTTGACCAGAAACCAGAAGTTCAGTAGCTCCATTTTGCTCAGACTCCCGCTGCCTCTGTCAGGGTCGATTTCACATTTATTTATTGTTTCAACTGCTCCGCCCACAGAAAATTGTTTGCTGCACATCCACCTCCCCGCCTCCTTTGTGCAGTTGAAAACTCGCATGACTCATTTGATTTCAATGGCCCAACTTGTTCATTTGGCAGCGAAAGTATTTAACATTTCCCCTCGAACAATGGCCAGCAAATTGAATGGAATGGCGCGAATGTTTTCGGGAAATCTCAATTGATTTAAGTGTTTGGCTTGGCCAGCAAAACGAACGTGATACGTGGCGAGTTTTTAAAGAGGATCAAAAAGAAAATATCTCAATATTTCCATCAGATTTGTCTTCGGTTATTTAAAATGTACTAACCTTAAAAATAAATATTTTTTGAGTGGTATATTTAAAATTTGTGGCTTTTTTATTTATAATATATTTTAAAGTAACTCGGATCAAACGGACCTTAAAATTTGTTAGAGTTTTTTGATTTAGCTATTTGTAGATCTAAGAATATAAGTATTTTGCATTTCAACGTTTGTTGTAATTTTCATTTTAAAAAAGTGTGCTATAGTTAATTGAAATATTTTAAATAAACAAAATTTGTGGCTGGTATAACTTAGGGCAAATCGGTTGCCACTCAAACGGATATAACTTTCAGTTCTTTTAAACTGTTTGTTATTTATCGATCTATGAGTTAATTCTCATGTGTTGATTATTTTATTTTCAATTACTTTAAATCCAAAATTATTTTGTCTTATTTTAAAGTTTGTTTAAGAACGTTCTCCTAATTTTTCACACTTCTGCTCGCTGTTGGCTGGAGGTCACAAATCCGATCTAATCATAATAGTAGTCCTAGGGGTCGGGACACAAACCGCAGCATGAAATGGAGCCACAACGATACGGAACACGGGTACCGATGTCCTGCCACTGACGCTGATGATAAGCTTTGCAACAGTAAGCGCTTTACCAGAGGTAAAATACCGGAGGTGGTATACTGAGTGACCACTGACTGATTCCGTAATGCGCTTTCGCCGGAAGGAAGCTCCTGTCCAGCCAAGTGATTCCAGGCCAGAGATTTTGATACAGATTTTGTAATAGTAACCAAGGATTAAGCCCTAAGCAGTGAGATAGGGTAAAACCTGGTCGAAAGAGTAAGGTTCGGGGATATGCATACCATAAATGTTTAGTAACTCAAGTAGAAAATTACACATTTGTTATGCAGAGCAATTTTTCGACTTCGAAGAAAAGAGGGAACCGCAAAAACATATTTTACATAATTTCACCAAGTTCTACTTGATAAACAATTTCATTGAAAGCAGCAGATGCTTAACAGCAACGCCAGAAGAACAACAACAATAAAGTCTAATAAAAGGAATTTCGCTTTCATGTTCAACCGCTATAAGGGTGAAGAAGGGGTTGTTATGAAGAAAGAGATGCGAACGAAACATTGCTCGTCTTTCTTTATTTTCCCTGCTATTTGGGGGGCGGTACGGAAACTTTTCCTTAGCATGCACACACATTATACACAAACACAGAGGAACATGCAACGTAAACATGACACAACAAAGGTGCGTTGTTCCCTCTTTTATAACCCCGCAGCAATTGAAACCAGGCAGCAAAAGTACTTTTCAATATTGGGGGTACTTGAAGTACTTATTCTTTACAATCAAAAAATCAAAACCAAATATTGCAAAGCAATTTCTTTATTTTAATGCCGTTCTTTAAATTTTCAAATTATTTAAGTTGCTTTAAATTAAATATATTCCATAATGACTTAATTCAGGGTACTTTTCATATATTTTGTTTGGTATGTTAAAGATATTTTTTAACTGTAAAAGATTCAAAAGAAATCAAACTAATATCCTTAAACCCCGATTTGGAAGTGTAAAAAAGTTTTCGTATAAAAGTTTGTTTCATTTCAGCTTCAAATGTTTAAAGGCGTTTAGTGGTTGTTATTTCGTTGTTGTTGTTCTTTAAATTCCCCTTTTGTTGTTGTTCACAAGTGCAGGCAACACATTTTTGTTTAAATTTCAATCAGAAACAATTTGAAAAGCTCCCCTTTGGAGGAAAAGGAAAATTGTGTGCAAGCATCTGAAGTTAGAAAGGTATGCGCAGCAGTGCAAGTTATCCACATTTCAGAAGTTTGTGTGCGTTTGCGTTTGTTTTACTTCTTGGCAACTGGCGCCTCGACTGCTGCAACAAGTTAGACAAACACAAATACACACACACATGGATAGATTTTTCCACACAAACACAGACGCACTGGAAAATGCACAAAATTGCCGTTGGTAAATCAACAGAGCCGCAGACGCAGCGCCAAAAACACTATGATTTTCCCGCCCTTTGCATGCTATGCATTTCACTTTCCAACTCATGGAACCATTATGTTTAACTACAATTTGCCTGAGGCAAAGGGTGGAAAGTTCAGAAGGAAGCATGGGGTATTTTCTCGGCAAATGCAACATCCTAAAGTTTTTTACATAATTAGAAATATGAAGCAGTCAGCGTGCTGCATGAATGTGTATAGTGTATAGCCTTTAGTAATGAATTGTTTTTAGAGTTCATTTGCCCTGCCAGCCACACACGTAGACAGAGAGGCCAATACAGAGATAGAAAGAGTAAGAAATAGGTAGGGCCCTAGAGGACTCCTCCTTTTTGCTGAAGTGCAGTGTAAATGTCTTGACTTTTTGTGTTTGTTGAGCCCTTAAGCACTTTTTGTGAGAGGCACGTAGGCAAAAATTGTAACAAAAGATGAATATAGGGGGAGTTGCAGGAATATGGGGGAAAATAACTAGAAAATAGAGGAAAAGCGGGAAAAGGAAGTCAAGTTCGTGTCTGGCCATTAATGAAAAGGCTCACTCATCGACGACTTCCTTCCTCTCTCGAGCGCTCAGCTATTATGCAAAATAATATTTTTCACCCTAAATGTTTCATGTTGCTCATACACAGGAAAGGTGAATTTGGTTTTTTGGTTTGCTGTTTGGTTTTGCGTATTTTTAATTAATTAAGGCTTTGTGCTAGACGAGCCGTTTTGCTTAACATGGCACAAAACTGTATAAATTTGTAGTTGGCAAAATGAGAGTAAACTGGTGAATTGACTTTAAGACATTTAAATATGAATACTTTACCCACGTTTAATATTTTTATTAACTTTTTTCAAATCTGTTCCCTTTAAAGTATTTTAAAATCTTTATAACGTTCCCATATTCGCCATAAATGTTACTTTCTAGTCATTGACTACTCCTAATGCAAGTCCTCTGAAGAGAACCTCAAACCAAAACACATAATTACAGAAGCAACGAGAAAATAAATTAGCAATTAAATCCAGGCAGTTAAAAGCCTGCCCGCAGGCAAATGAAAACCCGCCCCTTAAATTTTCTTCATTTTCCTCTCAACTTTTACCCCCCTCTTTCCCGCTTTCTGGGAGGCATTCAAAAAGTTATACTAATTGCGTAATAATCTTATTACATTTAAAAATACATTTACAACAGCATTTATACCTGCCCCCAAGCCCAATGACAACAGACAGGAAGCGGGGAGGAAGGGGGGTGGGCCGGAAGTGACTGGGGAGTTGGAGAAAGTGGGCTGGGAGAAAGCAGAAAGACAGACAGCACTCAGTCAAGGCGTATCAGCAGACGAGCAAGAACAATGATCCACCGGAAGCATTGATAAATGAATAAGCCCACAACAGTAAAGCAGCCACTTTTCCTCATTTGCCTTAACCTACCACCCACATTTCCTCAGTTTCCATCGCGTTCTTGAGCGGAAACTCCAATCAACTTGAACATCTCTTCTCTTCCAACTAGCTAAAGTGCGGAAATAAATCTAAACATTCTCCGCCACGAAGTAAAACTGTCAAAATTATACCAAAGCTTATGAATATGAAAATGCATGACAAAAGTTTTTCCACAGACGATGGAATCTAAGCGGCAAAGCCCCAAAAACCCCATCCCCAATTCCAGTCTCTCCTGTTATAATGAGTAAAATGTCACAAGTTGACGCAAGTAAATATTTAAATGTCAGATTACTAAGCGGAAAGAGGAGAGGAAACAAACCCACGAAAAATATGTCTCATAATTTGAAGGGAGATGGAGACGCTTCACCATTTTAGCCCATGATTCCCTACCAACTTAAAACCCAAAATGTGTTCTGCTTTGTGCCGGCTAAGAAATGCGGGCTAAAAACTTGAAAGAACATTTTTAAACTGACTTTGCATCTGTGTGGATGGTCCACAGGCAGATAGACATGGAGTTCCAACTGGCATACGAGTATATATGCAAAATATGCTCGACCGCCGTTTGACATTTACAAATGACAAACATTTGACAAACAAAATGCTTTTTCTTTGTTTGCCCGCCCTCGTCTTGTGTGTGCAGGAAGTGAGAAGCGTTTAATGTGGGCTTTCCCCAAACCAAGAGGACTAAGGCTACGGGGCTACATGGCATATATTTGCAAGGGACCCGCAGCAATTTCTTCACTCACCTTTTTCACTGCCATTTGGTTCATTGCGCACCCGGAAAAGCGACGACGGTAACAACAAAAGAGCCAAATAATTAAATGAAATGCGAGGCAAATAGATGGTGGAAGTAAGTTCCCAGGGGGTGTTCAAATGTAAATAGAACTTTTCATGGCAATTAAAATAAACATGATGAACGAGAGGGAATATGAAACATTTTAATGAATAATTTAAAATTTTTGTTATTTAATTTTTAAAGTTAAAGCACAGGCTTTAAAATTCTAAGATTTCTTATGTTAAATATGTATTTTATTCAAAATTGAATAAATGAGTAAAACAGTTAAACTTCATTAAATTAAGAATTTCATAACAATTTCAGTGTTTTCTCATTACATTTTTTGGAACTTTTTAAACTAAAACCAAACGAAAACTTTATTTCATTCATAGTTTTGTAAGTAGCAAAGCTTTGCCAGCAGAATTTTCCTCCCTGAATTGGTAACCGAGCTTTGATTTGGTTTGGTTTATGGGCGGCAGCTATGTTTAATTTACTCGGGACTTGGAGGAAGACGGCCCGACCGGTTTCACCTGCAGTCAGTAGTTAGTGGAGATGCGGCATGTGCCGTCCTTGGGGCAGCAATATTCCTGTTAATAACTATGTCCGACATTCGCTTCCCATTCGTTCAACCAACCCACCTATTCACTACTGCGGCTAACAAGCTGCATGTCATTACTTCTAATAAACCCTAGGGAGTGTCCTGCACATAAGAGTCCTGGTCTGGTCCTCTGTGCGACCATTGTCATCCTGCCCTCAAACGCACCCAGCTGAAACGGAAACAACGCACCGAATATCCTCATCACTAAAGAAAAAAAGGTGTCTTAAACGGACCTTATAACACTATAAGACTAATATAACATTTTCCCACCCTACACTTCTTTTTATTAATTTCCCAACCCTACATTTTCATGTCTGTTTGCTTATTTTCCCATAATAATTTTAGATTTTACAATGGATTTTTAAAGTTAAGGAAAAAATGATCTTAAAGCGGGAAATGTAAACTTAAGACTGATTTTTAAATTTAAAGTTTTTTATAATATTCTCAGCGCTGAACGGCGTTAAGCACTCTAAACCCGAAAGAATATTTTTCCACCTTACACTTTTATTTTTTATTAACCAAATTTATAACTGATTTTTAAAGTAAAGTTATAATTATTTCGAAAGACGTTTTTTCAGTGTATCCCTCCCTACCTTGGTTTCACCTTTAGCTATTTTTCCTGTTGGTCATTTGCCTGTAGCGGTGGAAGTTCTGCCTGTGTAAATATTTGGCTTTAATAGAATAAAATGATGAGCAGCTCTGGTCCCGAAAAAATTATTTACTGCCCTCATAACAAGGCAGAAGCAGAACAAAAAGCAGGGGGAACAGAAACAGGAAGGGGGAAAAGCGGTGGAACTCAGGAGGATGGACGTGAAGGACTTGCCCAGCCAAGCCTTGGGGCCAAAACACTTAAATTAATAAAGTAAATAATAAGAATTACGCACAGGACGATGGGGAATAGGATGAGGGGAAGAAGGGAAGAAAGACAACGGTCAGGTGGCAGGCTCAAGTCCAAAAGCGTTGAAAGTGAATTAAATGCCATTTGTGGCTTAAAAAATGGCGCCAGGGAAGCGAAGCTTGATGAGATTTTCACTCTGTTCCTGTTTCGGTTTTCCAGTGGAGAAAATGTTGCCGAAAAACATTTGAATTAGTTCAAATATTTTTGGGGGCGAAATTGAAAACCGGAAAACTCTGTCTTCGGTCCTAATTTTCTTTAGGGGGATTTTTCCCTCTGTTGATTAATTTATGGCGGACATTTTGTGGCTCTAGGATGTAATCACATTTTAGCAGTTAGCGCCTAATCCCGCTCAATATGGCTTAGCAACGCCAGCTCCTACGGCCACCATTCGTCCTTTTCCATTTTTATTCTGCTGCCTGCATGGCAGCTTAAAGCCTAAAGCCCCCTGATTGAATCGGAAAATAATTATGCGGACTCTTCTGCGGCTTCACTTTGTCGTCCTTTTTTCATGGCGGTTTCTTGTTCAAGATCGATTGTTGAAAGGACGAGACGGACTTACCTACAATGAGAAGACAAATTAAATTTTGATTAATTTTACATGCAACAATAAATGGGCAGATAGAAGGAACAGCAGCAGATAGGAAACTCTCTCACTCCGGCCCCTTGTCAAAATCATTTAAATAAATTGCTTTCTTTCGCCTAATTTAAAGGCCTACTTAAAAATCCATTACAAAATTTGCATAAATCTATAAAAAGACAAACAAAAAAGTAGGCGAACGAACGGCAAGTCGTCTCGTCAAGCAATTTCAAATACTCTATAGCATTTTTAGCTTATATTTTAAACTGAACTCACTTGAATTTTACTAAAATGAAATTAGGGGCTTAGTAAGGGGTATTTTGAAGTTTTAAATAATTATTTTTTAATACTTATTGATGACAGCACGCAAAAATATGTTTTTAACCCTCAAAATAATGACATATTTCCCATAAAGAGTATGTTAAATTCGATACTTCGCGGCTTCATCTCAACTTGATGAAATTGACAAGAAGCTGTCATTAATTTGCATCAAATCAATTTCCCTTCGACAGCTGCCGGGCCAAAGGAGCCTTGTTCTAGGCATGTCCTGGCATAAAAATGCAAATTTGTTTTGGCTTTAAAGAGCAAAGAGGCCACAGGACGAAGGGCTTTGGCATATGTGACATGACAACAAATAAAATTGCTAAAATATTATTACAAGTAATAGGAGCAAGAGCAAGCAGACAGAGCCAAAACATAACCACACCCTCGGCAAAAAGGGTGTTCTGTGTGTTGATATCGACGCTGATGCTGATGATGATGATGATGACGAGAATGTCGACGCCTTTTGCCGATATCAATGGGCATATCCATGGCACAGCCTCCTTATTTAGTCCCCCTTTTTGAGAGTGCGGTTAGACGTGCCCAAAATACATTAAAAGTTATACAACAAATGGCAAGGCGGTTGGGGGAAGTGGTCGGCCTTTCAAGTCGGGGGAGTGGAGTAAGAGAAAAGTCTCAACATTTTCTATACAAACAAATTGCCGCGTACGCGACTTGAAAGCCAAATTTGATTGATGTTGCATTCTATAGTCGACTCTTAAGCTCCATGGCCAAACAAGTTGAAGCACGAGAAGGATAACTATGTTTTGGAAGTTTCTAATACCGTGCAAACGAAATATGGTAGGAAGAAACAAAGTTTTATCAAAACAAGTTTGATTTAATTTAACTTAACTTAATTTAAAAAGAATCCATAGAAACCCTTGTTTAAAAAACTTATTATTTAGCGTAAGAAATAAAAAGTTTTTAGTTTTCATTATAATACCGTGCAAATAGTTTTATTTAGAAGCACAATAAATTATCTGTTATCAAAAAAATATTTAATTTTATTTACTAAAATTGCAATTTGTATAACCCCTTTTTTTAAAAATGTTTCTGATCGTGATAGCCTTAGTTTTAAAAGTGTCACCCACTATTGTAAAAAAAACACATCAGAATGTTAAAACAAATGATTTTTTCCTTATAGGGTATCAATAGGCTGGAGAATGTGGCATGCATAATGCGATTTTAAGTGTTTATTGTTGTGGAATTAAAAGAACTTCTTTGGGATCAGTAATTTTAAGGCTCCTGCGAATGCCTACAATTTGTTTCGGACTTTCAGAGCGCCCCGAGAATAGGAATCAAATTGAGTGTGACGATAAGATGATGCTGCTGATGGCCAGACGTTTGGGCAATGAGTCATCAATGCAGGATGATGATGGAAATGGATGGAGGTCGCCGCACCCGGGGCTAGGATAATTGAAAATCTGTCAACACTTTTGCCAGAGCATGGCGAAATAAAATTGCAATTTGTGCAAACAAGAATGTCATAATTTTGCGGAGGCCGTCCAAAGGGAAGGGGGGAAGAATTGGGGGAAAGAACTGTCGCAGCTGTTGGCCAACGATTTCTGCACTGGCCCTATTTATAAAACAATTTTTGTTGCCGCCGCCTGCCGTCTTCCGTTGCAGATTTATTGAAATCTTTCTGGTCAGTTGTTGGCCTGTGTCAGTTGATGGTGGATTTTCATTTTCTTCTTTTTTTTTTGGTGGCATAGTTGAGCCCATTTCTGTCCAATTAAAACGCTTTTAGCCTTCATTTGATATACGCAAGCAGATTTTCTGGTGCAGACAAAATAAATTCTAGCGAACAATAAATTAGCAAATTGAGCATCAAAATAAATCCCGCCATACAAAAAAAAGGAATTTTTGCCTTATTTTTCGGGGGATTAATAATCAACAAATTGGACTGATTTGTGCTCTTGAGAATAGTTTGATTTCTATTTTCGCTTATGAAAACATAACAATGTATTTGTAAGTGTGCACAAATTTTATTATTTGATTGCAGAAAAGTTGCTAAAACTGCAGGCTAAACAAAAACCAAAGTGTTGCAGGTTTTAATTGTAAATGTTGTATTACAATAGCACATGTTTTTTTTTTTTTGACAAACACTTTGTTTTCATAAAGTTTTGGTAACCATACACATTTTATTTTGTATTGAAATAAATTACTAAATTCAGTTTAAGTTATGTATATGTAGGTACAAATAAATAAAGGTTTATTTTTGTAATCCTATATTTCTTTTACCAAAGTTTTCTTATGTTTACAAACTAAGTTCTAATTATTATTGGTCAAAAAATTCTTACAAGGATATTCTCTTCAACGACTTCCCGCTTATAATGCTGCAGGCTCCCATTAAGATATAAGTATCACCCGCATGCGAACATTAAAAATCTTTGCCGATTTGCCTGCGGCTTGAATCTTAAAATGAGTGCCAAATTCGTACTTAAAATCTTTTTTTTGGCCATTTTCTGGCAATTGCAATCAGGGTTACAAGTGCGGGAGGTCGACAGCCCATTTAGCCCCATATCACACACGCACACACACCCACGCTTATAAATTTTAGGCCATAAAAACCCAACTCGAGCCATTTTTGATGTTATGCGATATATGCGACGGGCACCGCAAAGTATGCAACATTTATTTTTAATGCCCCCCAAACATTTCAGTGCCCCACTTCCAAGAGAGCCAAAAAAAAAAGAAAGGGGGAAAAGTATGAACACCAAGCCCACACACTGCGCAACATACATAGATAAATGCATATATATAAGCCAAAAATATATATAAATTTTTACGCGTTTAGAATATCAATTTGGCGAATGCGATTTGGTCATAAATGCCAAAAGAACAATAAATTCAGAAGCGCTGCATTCCGAAAAAAGTAGAGGGGGTGTATGGAGATAATGGCAGCTTTTCCGATGCTGCCCTTTGGTGACATGTTTTCCTGCGGTTTTCCAACGCTTTTTTAATGCCGCAAAAAATTGTGTTGTAATTTTGGTTCTGGTTTTTTCCACCCTGCAAACACAAAATGCTTTTTCGTTGAGCTGCAAGTGGACATGTTGTGCGGTTTCATTGTTTGCGGAAATTAAATTATGCGGTTGTTGCACAATTTTCATCAAAAGAACATGCAAAAATTGTATAATACAAATGAGAAATAACGAGCAAATTTTAATTGGCAAATTCAACGCAGAAAGCCTTGTTCCAAAAGCGCGACATTTTTGATTCACTTCGAGGAATTCGCTATGCTACCTAATTAAAAAGGGGGAAAATGGGAAAAGCCGGGCTGTTGCATTTTGGTGGTGGAGGTTTCATCTTCAGTTCTTTGACAGTTTTCAGTTGTACAAAACTCTCGCCGTCCCTGCCTTCATTCTTTATGGTCGCCATTTCTATCGCTTTTTACGCTTTACAACAAAGCAATTTCCGCAGACGACACTTTTCGCTCAAAAAGAGAGCGCGCGAAAAAAGAATTTCTCCTATTCTGGGGTGGGGAGAACTTTTCCCGGTTTTTCTCGTTTTTCCCTTCTTTTTTTTTGCATGGCACTTAAAAAATTTACAAAGTGCTTTGTGAAGGAGACCAAAACGCTTCAACGCTCCCGCGGCTCCCGCTGCTGGCAATGAAGTGCAAATTGCAGTGCAAAGTGTCCGCCAGCCACCTATCTGCCCCTCTCTTTCTATCTGCAGCTACCCTTCTCTCTCTATTTCTCTCACACTTTTCAGATTGCAACTTTTGCTTATTTGTCACACGATTTTTTTGAACTTTTTTTGTATGCAGCTGCAGCAGAGAGGAAGTCACTTGCAGTTGTTACCACGACTCCCACTCAGATTCCTCTCTGATTCTATTTTACTCTGCCTATTTCTATCTCTTTTACTCTTTCATTCTTTTTCCCTGTTTGGTGTTTGGCAAACTTTTCGCTGCCACGCCTTCGCATTTGTCTCGCCATTGGTCTGCCGCCCTTGTAATTTTAATTGTTTTCGGTTTTTGTTTACCGCATTTTTCCAAGTGGCTTTCCAAAGTCGCAAAGGTTTTCCCTAAAGTTTTGAACTGTAGTCTAGAAGTATCTGAATATTTTGAGTTTGAGGTGATAAAGGTACTAAAGAATCTCCATTCGAAATGAACTAAATATATAATAATCCTATAGATTTATTAAGTTTGAGCCCATCTTAATCAGCTTAATTTGATTTGGCAATTATATCCCTGATCTTACCAACTTCTTAATTCATATAATTAAATATAATAACGAATTAATATACTTTCCACATTAGGAAACATTTAAAATGAGGGCAAAAAGAGTGCCCATGACAGTTTTTAATTTTTTTTTTCAAGGGGAATCCGAAACATAAATAAAATGATCCACACACTCTGTATTGTCCTGAAATTTTATCTCTCTGCTGGCACACTATTTGCTCACCAGAAAGCGGCAATAAATGGCATGAGTTGAAAACAAACCAATCGAGAGTGCCAATATATATATATATATATATATATTGACAATTAATTTCTGGCTCGCAATCAATTTGCGTTATTTATTGTACTGTAGTTCGCATCTGCCAACGACGAGGGGCAAAAGACTTTAAAAATTTAAGTCGTGCCAAGCGAAATCTCATATTTCACTTTCCAGCATGGTCTATCATTTTGTTAGCGGAAATTTGCTTGCACACACGCACAT